CACTTAAACCAAGGACAACCACACGTGTATCTAAATGTTTTTCTCCTGGACTGAGAGTTTCTCATTTTCACCTGTGTAGGTGTGTGAAAATTTCCCTGCGTGGCGGTCAGTTTTGCTGAAGAGGTCAGGAAAGGGAATGAAAACAGGCTTATCTCTCCTCATTAGGCAGCAGAGATAAGAGATGCAGAGAGAGAGACCAGGCAGATTTGTGTGTGTTGTATCACCGGGGCCCAGACAAGCAAATTCTAAATTACACCGGCGGTGCAGCGGGATGACGGGGAAGATGATGGGCAGCGAAGGAGGGATGGATGGAAGCCGAGGGGAGGAGGCAGAGATAGATGCAGCGAAAGCCCCGTCCTGTGAGGGGGAAGCTGAGGATAGGGCAGCATGTTAACCTTAATCCCCTCAGGGAGAGGAGTAAACACACAGGAAGAGGGAGAACAAGGGATTGAGTGGAAAATAAAGGGATGTGAGATCTTTGTCTTCCCACTCTCCTTCATCCTCTCAGTGTGTGATCAGCCAGTTGCTGGCATCAGCAGGGAAATCCCTCTGTACTTATCTGAAACCATCGTCTAAATCACAGCCTTCATCTGCAGTCGCCTGGCACTTCCTGCTGCCTAACCCCCATTTCCTTTTTTATTCCTCCTCTTCTCACCTCCTCAATGTCATCCTCCCCCCCAACTCCACTCTTAAGGACCCCGTCTCTCTCTCCTTGACTCACTTCTAATGAATCTTCATACCTGAGCTTTCCTGTCAGTGACTCATATGCGAAAAGTTTTTCAGGAGTGATGATTCGTCTCCCAAAAAATGCCCCCCACCTCAAACTATCTTAAAACGGAATTGAAGAGAACAAAGTACAAAGTGGAAAACTCTACAGCCACTGGCTGCAGAGATTCAGCCATGCATTCTAGAGCTGGAGAGATTCTGGTGTGGTTTTTTTCCGAAAAAACTTGAAGTGGTTCTGTGGTAATTTCAGACAGTTTCAGCCAACCATCCAGCCTTATCTCCTCTTCCTCCACACTCCTACTCCGTCCTCCCCCTCATCTCCTGTGCCCCGTGGGAGAGCAGTGGCCTGTGGTTGACTGGCTGGCCGTGCAGGCGAGGGTGAGTGATAAAGTGCTCACATATAGGAAGGCGTACATGTGGATCTGACTTGATGGTCCCTGCATTGATCTGCTCACAGGGCTGGAGTTGACCTTTAACTGAGTTTCAACTGCGAGGTACGTCTCGTTCACAGTAAAGGAAATAAATTCGGCGTGTTGGTTCGGGCAGATTGAGTGTTTGGGTGTGTGCTTCTGTTTCTGTCTTAACATGTACGTAGGTATGTCTTTGTGTTTGCGTGCAAGAGGAAAGACAGCAGGTCAAAGGGCACGCTGCAGACCACTGTGTTTGTGTAAATATGTCAGTCTGAGTGACGAGGATGCAGCATAGGATGCAAGCTGCTTCTGGATAAAATGTGTGTTTGTGTGCATAGTGTTTACATCGGTGTGTATTTTGTGTTTGCATGAGCATCGATGTGCTCCTCACTGGACGAATAAGTCTGTTATATGTTCTTGACGAAGAGCTGTATGGATTTAAACACACACACACACACACCTTCTCTCTCTCTCTCTGTCCGTCTGGGGTATTTCATTAGCGCGAGACATGGCTGGTGTCCAGGGCCAACACCGAGGGCGAGATCTCAAGTCAAGTCGTTCACACACAGGCACCGCACCTCAATCCACACTATTGGCCTCTTCTCCTGTAGCTCTCTCTTCTCCAGCAGAGGTTAGGGGAAAGAACAGATTTCTACCTGAGACCCGCTGAGTGAAGATTTCATTGGTTGGATAATGACAAGAGGGGGTTGAGGGTGGGCCAGGGTATCAAGACTTTAAAAGGAAAAAACTAAAAGACTAAAAATGGAGGAGGAGGGTGTGATGATAAACAGACACAGCAGCGGAATGAGGAAGCAGTGAAAACAAGACACACGGCAGGTATCAGGTTTACAATGAGAGTGCCCTGTGGCTGTTCAGTGCTTTGGTTTTACAGTGACACAGCACCCCCACGTGGAAACTACCTCATATTACATGAGAGGGATTTTACAATGGTGGATGTGTTTAATGCCAAATGTTACCGTCAACAGTCTGATCTGCAATAAAGCCTGAATGCGAGTAAATCACATCCAATCTGAATCTATTGTTTGAGATTTTATGAACACACCGTGGCCCTTTCCTTCTCTATGCAAATCATCCCTCCGTTCCTATTAAATCACTAAATGGAAAAAGAAAAACACAGCAGAACCATCAAGAAAAATGCCACAGGAAAATGTTCTGCGCTCGCCTTCATGACAGCCCTCGGAAAAACTTGATTAATTGTTCCGCATCGTTCATTTTTAGACTCTGTGTCTTATCGTTGAGCTGAAACAAAAAGTGTTTTACAAGCTTCTGGTTTGACTGTTGCATGAATAATTACTTTTAATTTCCTGCAGCTCAGTCAGAATTTCCTCCGCTGGGTAATAGCTGCTCTTCATCATCATTGCCTTCATTAAATTATGTGTAGAAAAAATTTTGGGAATCTTATGTTTTACTGACTGAAGAAAAAAGGTTTTTACCAAACAAGTCACTAGAATTTTGTGCTTTGGAGATTTTTAGATTATTGTTGATTATGTTAAAAAAATACTTTTACATAATTGTATTGTTTTAATCTGGTGCAACCTTAAAGGACAGAACTACATTAGTAACATTATATTGTTATACTAGAAAATATCTAGTCTCATGTCGCGGCTCTAATATATCAATCAAATAATCCTTTAATAAATGTATTTCACAGTATTTGTATTCTGTTGTTGCTAAATTAAAGAACACAACTTAATCAACATTAATTAAGTAAATAGTTCAATTCAGTTTATGCAACATATATACTACATCTGAGCAATACAACTCAATAATGAATCTATTCTCGACCCATAAAGAAACATTTAAAACCACAACCTTCACTCAGGAGAAAAAATAAGTAAACTGAAAATAAATTGTGATATTTATTGTGATCATTATCAATATCAAAATGTTATCTTAGTATAATCTTTGGCCATATTGTGCAGCCCTAATTTTTACTAACAAAGTAAAAGTAGTTCAAACAGTCTAGTAAATACACGTGTGACATGAAAACACATTTCACACTTTACCTAACAAGTGCCTAATACAGTTTGTGTCCCTCCAGACGCATAAAAGTACTTTAGATGCAATGAGGGCACCACATGTTGGTTTTAGTCTCAGGACGGGAGGAGTACGAGTTTTTCACAAAGGAGAAAAAAAACAATGTAAAACTTATTTGTACCCAACAGTAATATAATTAACTTAGTCCACCCCATGAAATGATTTTATTTTCATTATATTCAGAAAAACATTTTGTTTCATCTTAAAAATAGTTGCAACCTTAGTGCCTTTGTAGATGAAGGTGCACAGTGTGCTCTTAAATCCACTTTTATTTTCTTCTTTTTTTGTCTTTCACTTCTCATTCACATGTTTTATTTTGCTTGTGTATTCAGTGAGTTATTTTTGTGAAAGTTACAAATTAAAACCCTCTCTGTGTGATTAGCACAATGAAAAGCAAAGGTAGAGTAAAGGACAGAACAGGCGGGTCAGAGCAGAGATGATGTGATGCGTTAGCTCGTAATGAGTGCGAGAGAAAGACATGATCATTAGGAGACTTTTGAATGTGCGAAAATTATTTTAGGAGATATTCAAAGTAGTCTATTGTTGGAGGAAAATTGTAATTAGGGGACTAACAACATTCAGTCATGACCTTTCCAATTACTACGACCAGGGTTTGTTCTCATCAAATGAGCGTCAGATCCTCTCTGCCCTCCACCACCCTCTCATTAGCATAATCCCCTGGGAATATGGGGGGATAATGAGACGGGCTGCACCTCAAGTAAACACACTGTGTGTGTGTGTGTGTGTGTGTGTGTGTGTCATGTTCAGTCATGGTTCATTAGTGGAACCTCTGCATGATTCCTCTGGTTCATCTTAATCACCCATGTGACTCAACACTCTAATCAATATCCTTTCTGTACTTCCTCTCAAACACACACATACTCACACACATACTCACACACACACACACAAACACACACTCACTCACACTCACACTCTCACTCAATTCTTCTGCTGATCCTCTTTTCTCATTATAAGACCACCCTTAATCATGTAGTTGTTCCGAACCTGGGGCGCAGGATTCCTTAAAGCGGCCTCAAAGTAGATCTAAGCTGTTGAAGAATGATTCATAAATGAAGAAGATTATAAAACATATTTTAACTTATCAACAGTCTAAAAGAAAAACATTGTTGTGAAGTAAAATTATTTTTTAAGGGCCACTTACATTGCTGACTCTAAAGCTCTCAGCTGCATCAAACAGCCTTCGTCTTCTTTTATGATCTATGAAGATCGATGAGCAGTCATCAGGTAATCAGTGAAGTTACTGGTCTCAGTCATAGACTGTATATAAAGATGGACGACATAACGGTTCCTCAAAAGTGAAGCCAAAGCATCTCCATCACCCCCTGGTGGCCAGCTGCAGTACAGATCATAAATCCTGCTTTCTTAAAACAGAAAATTGAAGAGAACAATGTTAGTGGATGGGACATGGACCAAACTAAAAAGTTCATGCTGAATAATTTTTTAATAATACATTAAGTGTTGAGCTTAAGAGGACTCCCCCCCTTTGTTTTACAGTTACTACGAGACAGTACTTATAAAATACTGGATCGTTTGATCTCCTTCTAAAAGTCACAGTTCCTCTGCTCACTGCTCATTGACACATGTAGAGAATGACAAGAGGCTTCAAGCAGGCATTAACTTGAGGGCTCACAAGGCAAAAAGGTCAAGAACCATTGTGCAAAAAAAAAAAAGCCAGTGAAGCTCTATAATGGAACTGACCGTAGCTGTTCCTTTCAGCCCAGCAAGTTATTCATGTCCACTTCATTGATTTCATCTGTTTTCTGTCTTCTCTTCTTCCTGCAGACACTCGTCTCCCAGAGAAAGGTCAGACAACAGGCACCATCATAGGAGCCATCATCGGAGTCATCTTACTGCTGGCCATCATCGGAACAGCCATAGCCATGTACCAGAAACATCGCAACAAGAAACAAAGCGGAGAGTGAGTCTCAGTGTGTGGAGGACGAGTGTTGTTGTCTTCATGCTCAGATGTTTGTTCTGTGTTAGAGAAAATGTCACGCAGCATGTTTCATGTATTTGTTGTGACTCACTAAGCGACTGTGTGTTTTTGTGTTGCAGTGGCCCACCTAAGTACAAGCCCCCTCCCCCCAAGAAGACCAACAACATCACCACCAACGGGGTGAGTCGCCTTCAACACACAAATAACAACAACAAAACTACTAAACTGGTTTGTCAGATACAAAGCAACAAACTGTCATCAGAGTTTTCAGATTTGTTTTCTGTCTTCAGCAGGGGAACACAAGTTATGCCCCGGTGGACAGACCGCTACAGAGCCAGTACTACAACACCCAGAGCGATGAGCCGGTCACGGTAAGGACACATGTTCATCAAAAAGGAAAAGGTCTTATGTATATTTGGATCACAGTAACTGAAATGGACAATATTCTTTTTGTTCTATCTTTGAGAGCATCAACACAGTGAGAACATGTCGCACATCCGTGGTCCAGTGCTCCATGCTTTATTTACAACATGTCTTATTTAGTGCCTTACGTTCATCAGGGAGACGTCTGAGGATGTTTCCCATTTTCATTCATCAATTACAGCCTCTTCAGTTCTGCTGGATCATTAGTGGGTCTGTTATGTGTTTCATGTGTGTTATATGCAGCCGGGCCTTCATGCAGAACGTGTGTTCCACACAGAGCATCCTTTATTTATAGAGCTTATCCTCTGGAGGGACGGGCAGGGGCTGGAGCATCACTCTATGACACTGGGCGAACATACAGAGAAAAAATTACCATTCACATCTACAAACACTCTAGAAACTCCAATTAACCTTTAATTCAATCTGCATGTTTTTGTGGGATGAATCTGGAGTACCAGGAGGAAACTCAGGGACATGCAGACCCCCCCAAACAAACTGGGATTCAAACTGGGAATCTTCTTGCTGTGACAGTGCTTAACACTGCACCACTGTGCCGCTAGAATATAATGAATTATTAAGTAATTTCACAGTTGCAGGTTTAAAATATAACGCAGCGTTTAGTTAAATTTGCTTCTTGAAAATTCTGTTAAAAATAATTTAAAGCTTTTAAGTTTTTAAAGGAACATTGGAATTGAGGGTTGAAAAGAAATCTGTGAATCTAAGATCAGCCTGGTGTTCAGACTGAGTGGCCATTTCTTTTCACCACTCTGCTTCTGGGCAGTGATTCAGTCTGGAACCAGGCCGATCTCACGATTGGATTTTAATAAAACTTTGGTTAATGGTGTGTGTCACTGCGTCATCGCAGCGCTGCTAAAAATACTCCGATCAGCCCGAGGAGCTCACGATGACGTTTACTCGTCAGATTGGGACAGAAATTTGAAGCAATGATGCAGATTTTCATTTGTATTTTTCTCACTTTGTAAAAACCAGACTATGGTTGAACATGACAAGTCGTTAAATGACAATTTGAAATAAAGTAAGTCATTTTTCTCTCGTCTCTCTGATGCAGTGTAGTGCTGTAGATGTAATGTTTTGTAACATGTTTCTTGAAAAGGCAAATAAAAAAGGATATTTACATTAAAAAAATGATAAATAATTATAATAATAATGATAATAGAAGGTTAAGTATTTTTTCTCTTTTCTAGCACAGCTAAAGACCAGGAGACACATGTTTTTCGTACCTTTTAACATACGTGTCTGATGACATGTTACGCTGCCTTACAGGACCTGGATGCTTACCATGAAGAGGACAGGGAGCATTACTTCTCTGCTGCCCCGTCTGGCTGGGATGATCCCGGAGACAGCGAGGTCCTGCCTCCCTACATGCACACAGAAAGTGACCCCCACGACGATTACCAGGGCCCCAATGTCAACCGCGGGGAAAGCTTTGTGTCGCCAGCCATGTTTGTGTGACGTGTGAGAAGCCACTGCAGAAACTGGCCTGTGTAAATATGTATGAGTGTGATTGAGCCAGTGCTCATTTCTACCTAAAATGACACCGACAGGAAATGAGCTCCATCGCGGGCGAGTCAGAATGTGTGAATATCAACATCTGACACCTAGTCACCATTTTCCTCCACCGCAGAGATGGGGAGTTGTGTTTTGCCTTTTTGTTTTCAGAATATTCATCAGTGATCAGGTCACTGATTTTACCAGGTTGATAAATGATCTGGTTCTGTTTTATTTCTCTTTGTTTGTTTGCTTTTAAACTATTTTAAACCCTGATCAGCTTGAGCCAGCAAGATACAAAGTGCACTATATGCACAACTGTAGCATACAGCTATAGAGATATAATGACCTTATTTTTCTTAGACTGGAAATAAATCAAAGACAATTTAGTTTAAGGTAGATTATTCTGTTGAATGTTACATAGTCAGGATGTGTTGTAAGTACTTGACAGAAGCGCGGAGCCGTTATTGTGTTGCATTATAAATGCGGAACTGTCACAAACATTATGAGGTGGTTAGCAGAAGCACAATCTATGTGGGTATGACATGTTACCTCTGTCTGCTTGTAGCTGTCTGCTCTCGTTGCTTTCCAAACCCAGGGGGCGGGAAGTCGCTGTAAACCAGGCGCCCTTTGGACAAGCTGTTAGCTGCAGTTAATCAGGCGACGGGAGTCAGAGACTGTGATGGCATCAGGGTGTAAACTGCTGTGAGGAGGGGGGAAAACTTTATTTATGTTCTTGTTTGTGTTTGATTTCAATAGTTGTTTTTTTTCTTGAGTTTCTGCTTCTGGCCTTTGCCGTCCGTGTGAAAATTCAGTGCCTCTCAGTTCAGTTGGTGAGTGACTTTACAGTTCTGGCCTCTAGCCTCTACTTGCGTCCATCCATCCTTAAAGAGGTTAAACACAGTGCTGTAATTTTTAAGGATATTTGATAAAACACCTTTTTATCCACTTTGTCTAAAAGTGTGCTGACATGGATTAGGATAAATCTGGATTAAGCCCATAAAATCTGTCAGGATTAAATAGTTCTGTATGGAGTTCACACAGGGGTTGACACAGACCCTGCTAGTTGACTGACATGTCTGTCATCATCATGGTTGAGGATTAAACAAGTCAGTAATAGTTGGTAAGGTGTTTTGTCCTGCTTCAAAATGAAATTGTCTTTTTGTGTGTTTTAGTGCCAACCAGGTGTTTATTTTATTCAATTGCCTTGTGAGGACAGCAATGTCTGTTTATATCTTTGAATTAATGTTGAAGTCAATCTGTGTTGATTAATGTTGATTGCATTTTTCCATAGTTTTCATTACAGACACTGATTCAATAAACATTTTAATCATGATCCACTTGAATCCTCATTAATTAACATGAGTTTGTCAATTCTATAACTGAGTTGTAACTCCACCGTTTCACCACATGGCGGCAGTATGGACTGAAATTACAACAATGAGTTCCATGGCTGAATATTATCATCTTCTGCCAGGAAGCAGAAAATACTGAATGTGTTTCGAAATGAATGTTTACGTTATGAGTGAATATTGTCACTGACATTCAGCATCATTCTCTGTATCTCAGACTGGATCTGCAGTGCCCACACTCAGCCATGTGAGGGCTCTGGATTTAAAGTCTCAAACTGCACTGGGCTGAAAACAGCGGCGGCCGCTTGTTCTTCCTCTCCTCTTGCCTGACTCATCTCTTTCTATCTTAAGCTGCGTTTCCTCCAATCACAGTCCATGAAAAGTCTGAAGGCACAAGAGGGGGGACCTTTTTTAGATCAGCATGATTCATTTCCAGCGCTGGTGAGACTGCACCAAAAAAAAAAAAATAGAGATACAGCCTTTGCAGATGCAGAATATAAGGATTACATACATCACCCTCCTGCACCACTGACTCACATGCGTAAACCACTTGTGTCTCGCAGCTTAGCCAGATTCATGGACACTGTATGTGGTGCAGCAGCGTCCTGAATGAGCCGGGCCTGCTGCAGAGGTGGGTGAGGCCTGAGGTGCGGCCCACCATGACTCTGCAGTCTGTTCCCTGCTTGTATTCTGATCACACAATGTTTTCTAAGAAGTACGCAGCATGTAAAGGGTTCATTGCTGACAATAGGTGTTCTGCAGCTGTAAGGCTGTTCAAGACAACGCAGAGGTCAGCTCGCTCTGCAAGAAGCAGTGAAAACTCCCACCGTCCTGTATGGGAGCCATGACTTTCATTCTGTGATTTAAAGAGGACTTCTGTGATCTCTTCATTCGTGTAGTCTTTCTAATTTTAGTTCAGCTGCAATGTACATTAAGGTGGCGACCATAAAAACATCTGGATCGATAGATATGATGCTGTGAGTGCAGCAGGAGTAGTAAGTCTCTCAGATGACTCTTGGTGTATTGATTGAAGGAGTGTTACATCGGTGGGAATGCACATGTTGGTGGAGCGATGTATAGATAGACGACAAAAAGACGTCAAGATTAAATATGTTAGTTCAAAGTATTTTTGAGAATCTAATACATAAAAAAAAAAACACAAATTCTCAAAAGGAAACTGTCCTCGTGGTTCACCACGTTACTTTCCTCTGAACTAGCAGTGATCTGTGCAGTTGCGGCATTATGGGATTAGCAGACTTTGTGAATCGGCAGCCAGGTAATGAGTGAGGGAGAAGGCAGAGAATAAACCTCTCATGCCTGCAGTGCTGCTAAGCTGGTTAAAAATAGAGGCAGAAGAGAGGGATTGAGAGAATGGGGGTGGACAGAAAAGATGGGGGATTGAGGAAACGGCTGATTTGACTCCCAGCAAAGTAGGCGAGCGGGGATTTACCGGGTGACCTTGACTGCTTGTATTAGAACAAAATGTGTGGCAGCATGTTAAAGGCACATAAAGACACAGCTCATCATGCACTCACAGTGATTCTGAGTGATTTCTGAGCAGCCTGATCTGATGGACAATCGCTGCCCGTGCTCATCATGTGTATGACAATGATGAGCATGATTGGCTGCATGCTGTTGGCTTGCCTGGTGAGTAGATATACACACACACACACACACACACACACACACCAGTTGATAAATGGAGGCCTGTTTAAGCCTGACAAGGTTAAGGAAACCTTGAGTGACCTTAAATATCTATTTTAGTTGTTAGAAATAAATACAGATTAAAGAGAAGTGTGATTTCTTAGCTGAGATGTGACAAAGTTGCATCACGTTCTCTCAAACGAGAATATTAGTTCAGTGTAGTACCAGCACCTTCAACAGCTAGATGATGAAGTGAACATATAACTGAAGCCCCATGTGTGTGGCCATAGGTTTAAAGGTGCTGATTGTTATATATCATGATAGTTAAGCAGATTGTAATTTAGGTATCTACAATTGTAATTTCGTGCTTTCGCAAAAATCAATTTCCGATAGTTTCTCAACTACTCTCCTTTTTTATTCTGTTTGCTATCTTATCTCAACGGGGCCGATGCTGTAAACACCAGGCCAGAAGGACACACTGCGTGAGAGGAGCGCAAGAGGATGATGGAGGCACGAGCACTGGCACCCTGGTGAGTGACACTGTCGAGACGCCCTCGCGACAGGGAAAGCATGCCAGGGGAGTCTGGAGAGAGGGAGAAAGCGGGTGGAGTAGATAAGGGGAACAGGCTGTGAAACAGGAAGAGAGAGACAGAAGCTTTGGGGATTAAAGGAGAGCTGAAGGTGGAGGGCAGACAAGGCCACTGGACAGCTGAGAGAGAAGCCACTGCAGCTTGGGTCAAAGTGGAACTGCTTGTTTCTCAATGGTCTGACTTTTATAACTTGGTTAGTAACATCCAAATGAATGAAAACAGAATTAAAACTAGAATGGTAATTTTCCGCTCCAGCTCAAGATTATTATCTTGATCGGCACCTTGTTCATAGAAACTCATTGATCTCAAAATCATGAGAAATGAGAAATTGATTCAAATTTGAAACAAATGCCCCGTCCTGGATCCACACCTGTAACTGGATCTGCACCAAAGTTTAATGGGTTCTTCTCTGGCATATGTCTCATCCTTTCACTAAGTTTGGTGCAAATCAGCTTTAGACTTTCAGTGCAATCCTGATGGCACGAAGAGGCACTGACACTTTTATGTTTTTTTCAAGAAATGTAACAACCTCAACATAAATAGTGCATATTAAATTATTTGAATTTACATTTAAGTTAAGCTATAAATGTCTGTATAGTGTTGTAACGTATAGAGAGGCCAGGGTATCTGACTGGCCAGTGTTGCTCTTGCACACAGGCAAATAAAAAAAAACCATTATCTTATAAGAGACAATGACACAGTTGTAATCATTATTCAGTGCTAGTTAACCATTGTTTTTGCAACTGCATGCAACAGCAACAATTAATACACTATGGTTAAGACGCAAACAACCAGAACAAACAGTGTGTCATCCAGCAGACAGGCTGATGTGATAATGGTTCTACAGAGGTGTTCAATATTACAGCACTTTGCTCTCTATGTGCCCAGGGCAGGACACATTGTCGCGACACTATGGTTTGAATTATTCAACATGGTGATGTAACTCAAAATTACATTAATGTCAAATTATGAAATCTGTGAATAAAGGAAAAAATAAGTTTTTTCTGAAAGATAATTTTTAAAAATGAAATATTAACGTGTCCACGAAAAGCTGAGGATGCTTATGAGACTATAATGCTCAAAGTGGCATTGAAGAATCTGTTTCCTTCCTCTGTTTAAGGAAGCTTATCTAACTTTGTGTTAACAGCACTACTGTGGCCTCACGCAGCTATGACAGGATATTTTCGTTTATTTGATATAGATTATGCTCTCTGATCAAAAGAAGAAAAAACATGAAACAATCCAAAGTTTGTTTTAACGGCTAATTTTAAAGTTTTATAGGTGCAGGCAATAGCTCTTTCTCCCTGTTTCTAGTCTTGATGCTAAGCTAAGCTAACAAGTTCTGGTTGTGAAGATAAAAGTGGTATCAAACTTATGATCAAAAAATGTAAAATTAAAAGCGTGTAATATGACAGATTGTGACCAAATCTGCGTGTCACTGCAGAGAGATAAACACGTGTTACATAAAGTAAGTTACACAAAAGTATTGGCTACAGTGGGTTTGCATGTGCTCGTGTGTGTGTGTGACATCAGCAGCTTGTTTCCCAGTCCTGATGCCAGCTGGTATAAAATGATCTTTAATATTTAATGCTCTCAGCTCAGGTTGCATCAATCTTCTGTACCTGCCGAGTGACTCACATTCAATGTCTCCGCATTTTCTCATTTAAAGGGATGAGATGTCCAACATGCCCTTTAAAAAACACGCCTTCCCTGGCTGAGCTCACAAATGATATTACCCACAATCCTAACTACTCACTCGTTTAGTATCAGTGGTGGGATGTCGACGAGTGTGTGTGTGTGTGTGTGTGTGTGTGTGTGTGTG